GTCATTGTCATTGTCATTGTCATTGTCATTGTCATTGTCATTGTCATTGTCATTGTCATTGAAAGTAAAGTTAAGTTTTTTACTAGTATCATCTACCACTCGGCTCTGTGTCGGACAACACACACAGTTTGACAAAGAAATTTGATTTCACAACTCTAATGACTGGTTCACTTAGACATTTCATCTCATCAAGACCAAGAACTGCAAATAGCCTACAACAACTTTTCTTAATTGTTCTTTAGTTTTAGTTTGACTTAACCGAAGATACTCAACATAGCGCACATACTGCTCTCCAAATATTTGCTGCAGTCTCTCTCTCTCTCTCTTTCAGTCTTAGTCTCCTTTTTCACTCAGATTGTCTTACTTTTTCTGAATATTTAATCCTTTAATATCTACTGAACAGGCTAAAGTCAATTAAATGATGCCTGATAACCTATGGCAATTATTGAGCAGAATCAGTTTACGACGTTTTGTCATGGGGTTAAATGGCTGTAAGATTCTTCTTATCCCACTTGTCAGTCAATATGCAATGCGATTGTTTTTTGGTCTATTTATGGCCAGACTAAAATTGATTGAGTGATTTGACCTCATTTCAGCCACTATGTGCTCTGCGCTGTGACGACACACACGACGAATTGTTGCAATTTAAATACGCGCACACTTAACTTTATGCATGACCCATAAAATTGGTCATAAATGCATAATATGGCATGTCATTAAAAATTAATTAAGGGTAAAATATGTGCAGATGACTTTTACGAGAGTTTGGCGCGAGTCGTTAAATAGTCGGTCGATAGCCAATGCAATGCATCAAAAGTGAATCTCATACATACATATGTTCATATATGTAACTGTGTATATATTTAACACACAGCCTTTTAAACTGTCCTGTTTGAAAATTAAACGCTCCAGAGCTACAGCTCCAATGTCCAGTGGGACAGACGGCAGAGGGCAGCTTGGCAGATGGGCAAAGGGTTGCGGCCCCCCGCAGCTATGTCATTGATATTCATGAGCCTTGGGCGTTTGAACTTGACAGTGATTAAGATTTGACTGTCCTAACCAAAGCATAGTAGGAAAAAAGAATTAAGAGTGCTGCAAACTCAGCTGCACGACTAGTTGCTGCCCTGTAAACAGCACTGAGGAACTGCAGGGCATGATAAATGGAAATAATGCTTTTGCGATTCGAATCTTTTCCTGGGAAATTCAAGATTCCTTTCATTCTAATTTCAAAGTTCTCTTTACTTGGCGCATTCAATTGTGCGCGCTATTGATACCCCTGCTCGACTGCCGAGCAGAGCATGCTGAAAACGAAAAAAAAAGCCTGCTGGTATTCGCTTTACAAATGTAAATTAGACCGCCATTTTTTGCGCTGTGGCAGATATTTTAATTTAGTCTGTAAAAATGACACGGCCGCAAACAAAAAGGCGCTGTGATGTTTGCCCTTTGTTTTGTTTGGCCAGGGCCAAGCATCTGGCCATCTTTAGCCTTTTTTTTTGGCTTTCTTTTCTATTGTTGTTGTTGTTGCTGGTGGTGGTGGTGATTTTCAAGTGAAAAGCGCGGCTACATCAAAAGGGTTTGGCAGTGGGTATGGAAATTTTTGTGCTGTCGAATTTTTATGCGAAAATGTCAAGCGGCTAGCGCAAACAAATAAAAACAAACAAAAGTGTGACAGTCGCGACAGCTCGACTAAGAGATACCCTAAGCCAATTGCATGCCAACTCCACCCTAACTTTTCTGTCACTTGATGTCTCTATTGCTTGAAATAGGATTTTGGCAAACTTGAGATTAGGGGCGGATGGCAAATAAAATCTGCAAAAGTTCAAGTCTCTAGGAAATCGGATACTTTACGAGGGACACATACTCAGGCTATATCGACTTAAGTCTGTTCTTCTGATCAAGAATATTTTTCTGCCACGCCTCCTTCAGCCGGTTACATACATTTTCATAGAACCAACACGATCTGCAAACCCATTTTCAAAGGGTTCAGCGAAAACAAAAAAGCAAAAAAAAAAAAAAACAGAAAAAGACGAAAAAATTGTAATAAAAACCCAAATAAAAGGCAAATGACGGCAATTTAATGGTTCAGACGCGAAAACAATAGTGTTGTTGTTGCTTGCGGCTGAAAGAAATGTGTAATGTGTTTTTGAAAGCCAAAGTTGGCTGCTGCTGCTGCTGCTGCTGTTACCTATGAAGTTTCTTCTTTTTTTTTTTATCTGCTCGCTGCAGCTGGGCCAAAAGTTGTCGTTGCTTCGCCAGCTGCAGCGAGCAGCGCACAAAAGTAAACTTTAATTATAGCTGGACAGCAGTGCTTCTAATGAATGCCCCCTCCCCAGCAGAACTACTCCACT